TTTCTGCGGATCACCCTTCCTGCTGACCACCTCTTCGGTCCTCGGAACTGTCGCACGTACCCCCTGTCACCAATTCTGAAATGACGCACCTTGTCTGTCCGATTTCCCCCCGCATGACAACTGCAATGCTTTTCTTTCCTGCTTGGCACAAGGCGTTTTGCTCTGGATACTGGTTTAGTGACTGGCTTGAGGTTCGGGGCAGCACTGGTGATTCTGCAGCATTCTGGACCAGGTTGGAGCATTGCTTCGTGGCGTCTATTCATCTGCGTAATCTGACTGCCATTGAATTTTACCGTCATATCTTTAAGTCTGATGGGCACATCAGATTTTGAAGTGACAGTGTGGAAGAAGTGTTGCTCCTCCATAGCTTCTGAATTGGCGACCACATTGGTACCAGGATTTAATTTGAGTAACCTCTGACATTCTGAAACAATTTCTTGCAATGTCAGCTTCAGTTCCAGTTCCCATTCTACTTGAATGTGTAATTTTTGTGATAGCAGTTCGATCAACTGCCTCTGTGATTTTCCGAACTGCGTCTGCTGCTTCTGCAAAAGTGCCTGCAATTGTTCAAAGCTGACTGCCATCCTGGGTTCAATTGAACTCGCGTCGCCACTGTTGTGACGCTGCCCTTCGCCTCTATCCCTCTGCGCTGCCAACCAGGCGGGGAAAACAAAACGTCGAGCCTGCTAGACCGAAGTATATTAGGCACAGAATATGGTTACTTTTATAGGTCACATGCGCTTACCTCGCCGCTATCACTGAGGTGACTCACATCTCCTGTCTGAACAGATTCGACCCTGGTAGCGGCCCTCACTGTATGACTGTAGGTAGGATTATGTCCGCAACATAGCAACCCGTGTGGCGATGACGGTCTGATTTCGTCAGCTTCCGGTTTAACCATGACAACGAGTCGATCAGCCGCTCAGGTGGTCTGGTCAATCTTGCCCCGCTAGTGTGCACCATCGTAGTCAGATGTTTCGCCACCGTGACACTTTCACGCTAACAAAGACTGAAAGTATTCGGACTGTTAAGTGAAGATCTCATGATCGTGTGTACTCAATTATGTGTGAGTTCAACCATATATGCAGTCAAGTACTGACATCTATTACAAACATTAGCCTCAGAGGTAACCGATTGGAAGAAAGCAGACAATAACATGGTCTAGTGTATCGTTGAAATGTGAAGTCCTTCCGGAATGCCCTAAGTTCAGTTGTTCCTGTTTCATAATTGGTTACTGCCAAAAGTGCGTTGATATCGCACTATTTTTACGCCCTATACCGCATAAACCGTGGCCGACAGAAGATCTATTCGTGAAGTATCCTGATTTGGCATAAGAGCCCACCACCAGGATGGACGGAAGACAGCGCAGATGGGCAAACAATCTTCCTTTTCCACATGTGTAGCTACCCGTGCGCTGTTTCGCATTCTTCGGCATCTACCGGGGCGCGTAAACCGTATACTTGACTCTATCTACAGTGAGAAGAAGAAAATGCACCAGCATCGGCATTTAGTGTGCGCACCACAAGTCGCGTGTAAGCAAGGGACATTGTAAGGTCATCAGTATCTAGGAAAACTCGAACCGTTCACCTTTTCATTATGTGACCGATGACCTAAACCAAGCGGACACCGGCCTGCGCGACATGGTAAGTAACATATCACCCCAGTTGTAAGCGGTAGACTTTCTGTAGGGGAATTCGCTGTGTTTGTAGGAACAGGCACGTCTTAGTGCCTCAGCTACAGAACGCGAAACATGTGTTACCGTTATGTGCAACGCTCACAAATGGCAAACTATCCGCTAAAATTGACTGCGCACTAATTAGTGGAACGAAGTGCCTCCGATGAATCAGTGGACAAGCCCAACGCATGCCGCCTGCAGTCAATGGCTTGGTTTCTGATCGAGTCGGATGATGCGTACCACTGGCGAGCCCAAACAGGGTGAAACGACCGTCTAGTGCTTTTCGCATTAGTATTGACTATCTGACTATTTGAAAAGAATCAATGAAATTGCAGCCAAAAACTTCCTACTCATTAGCAGTTACTGATCGCCGAACAACCTCCTCGTGGTGCCAGAAGGGAGGTTCGGGTTTAACCCGTTCCAGCAAATAGTTAGGCGGCAGTGTTCCAGGACGTGGTGGGTTTTCGCTTGGCAAGCGTTCTCCATATAAAAAGCCACAAATGTCTGCTTAACAACACTGTGACGTGGCGGTCGTGACTCGCCACAAAATAAAGTCACTGCCCCGTGGATATCCGGATAATCCTTTCCAACCCACGGACATCAATCTTCTACTCGCACATTGCCGACGATATCAAACATTCAAGAATGGAGCAGCACAATTACAAGCACAAACTACACAGCTACATGGTTGGCAGCATCCGGTTTCGGATTTGCCTGTCACTGTGGCCAGCCACAGGACGCCTGCGCCTACAGAGGGACCATGGATGGCTTGCGCTGCACCACCCACAGCTCCAACCACACACCCCATATCCAGTGTAAACCCGAGGGAATAAGACCGGGAGCCACGTTTCATCAACGGAGTCGGCCCACACTCCTTCACAGGCAAACACAAGCACGTTGTACTTGGGAATCAAGCGCACACAAGGCGGTGGCTGGACCGTAGTCCGCTCCACACTGAGTGCATGGAACCACTCTTCGAGCCTAGCACAACCACAACGACCGTGCACCCCGTCCCCTCCAGCAACGACCAACTGTCTCCTGGAGCCAGTATGGACGAGGTAGTGGGTAATAGACAGGTAGGCACCTTGTCAACATGCACATCAAGCGCACACACACCGGGGATATCAAGCAACAGCCATTCACTTTAAACGACAAGCTGAAATAAAATGAATCCAATAATGCATACAGATACGGTGGCATAACTCTTCGCTAAATTACCATATGAAGTAAGTTGGTTAGCAACGAATCCGCGGTAAGGAAAAATGTCCACAAGTTACTTAAAAATGCTACAAACGCAACAAAATTACCGAAGATAAGCGCAATTAGTGTAAGCAACGTGGCCAGTTAATAGAACATTATTCAGGTAGGCAGAACAAACCAAATAAAGTGGAATGAAATTTAGCCAGTTTAGAAAGACCTAGTTTAAGTGTAAGTTGGTTTAATCCAACTGCGGTGAAAAAGCATCAATAATGGAACATCAGCCTCAGCATGAGGCACACACAGCTACATATACACACAATTACATACGTATATACAACCCTACACAAACACACACTGTTATGACAAACATATCGGATTTTTGCACATTTTTGATCACGGTTTGTTATGCTGACATGATCATACCTGTAAAGGCCTGCCTCGCCTTGTCGAGAATAAAAACTTTATTTACTTCATTTATTTATGAACCCGAAGCTCGAGGTGACTCGTGCACTCCCAACGTCTCAAGCAGCAGGTCCACGAGATGAAAGCGCGTTCAAATGACGTATGATCCTAATTTTACGGATGGTCCATCGGAAAGATACATATGCACGATCAGTTTTAGCTCAGGGTTGGTATAGTCGAAATGCAAGCACCGGAATTCGATGAAACGGTGCAGACACTAAGAACCACTGTCCTACCAAGCAGGCGTGCTTTAGCGCAATCGGTCTCTGGACTGGCTCGTGGTAACAGGTGGTGTGCGCAAGGAGTGTGGTGATATCCGCTCGTGACATTGCACACCGTGGTCGGTTTCGTGCATGTCTGCACACATTATGCAGAGTTATCAGGGCTGCGACACGAACCCGGGAGCCTTTGGAATGGCAGTTGTAACCTCTGCCTATAAGTCATCGAGTCACGCTTGTTCTAACGGGGTCATTTTGAAGTACTCGTTGTGTGAATGGATTGCGACGCGAAATCTTAGTCGAGCGGGCCACCTCATCATTTATCTGCTTCAGATGTGGTCCCAGTGCGCGAAGTGATTAAACTCACTTCAAAATGAAGCTCGGTCCCCATAGACTTTGGGTGTCACAATCCATCCACACAACGAGCACTTCAAAATGACGCCTACTTATGACTTTAACCCGTCAAATGGTGTGACCAGTGGAATTCCTCGTGTCCCGATTTGACTGAGACGTCGTTTCTGAGGATGCATATCCGAGGTAACCGTTCCTATGCGAAGTGAGCACAACAGCTAAGGAGGTGCAGCACTCAGGAACAAAGCAGAAAGGAGTCAGTGGGAAACAGCAGTCACACGGCCTATACAGGGATTCCCCATTTAGCAAGGAGTTGAATGCAAATTCAGAAACATAATTACACCAATTATAAAACCAATGACACTGCGGTGACGAATTGAGAAAACTAACGATGTAATTCAGTTGGTCAGAAGTTGCTTTCCGACTATGAACTCACTGCACTATGGTGTACAATCATTAGTGGCCTGGATGGGTGGATGACCACATCCAGCGTATCTCCTGAGCTTCCGAAGAGACACGGCCTGTGTCTGACTGGATGGTTGGTTCAGCTCTCGGAGTCAGTCCCTTTACTCCTATCGATCACTCCGAGCACAGGCGTCCTGTGTTTCAAGGTCAAGCAGGCAATTACACACAATCCAGTCAATTTAGTTTGGTTAAACTGATCGGCCATGATCTGGGTACGGAAGTACGATGGATTCAGTCTCATGGCTCACACCAATATAAGAAGTATAATAGCAATAGTAAAAATAACAATAATAATAATATCAAACCATCAAAAAGATTGAAGAGGAACAGGAAAAAGAAGCATACAGACAAAATTTAGTGGAAAAGAGATAAGATATCAATCAAATCAATGGCGAGTTGAATGGTGCAGATAGATTCCGAGCGCATACTTTGTTGCGTGTCTGGACAGCGCGCCGTTTCTCGGCCTCAGTGAGGTGTCCAATCTAGCGATTACGTAACAGTCGCACGAATCCACAAGCTATCACCACAAAGTCAGAGCACAAATAATCGCGCAATTACAAACTGATCATATCAGCCCTAGCGCTGACAAGCGAATATATGCAGCAAATATTGTGCATCTACACACTCACTCAAAGAACAGTGCTTCCCGCCCCAGCCCGGCTGGCACACACAGGTCCCGTTCACACAGTGTCCATGCTCCAGACATTGAGGTGAACACAACCTCCGGTCGCACGTTGGACCTGTCCAGCCTGGGGCGCATTGGCACCGAGGTTTACCAGACGGAGTGAAAACACAGGTACCGTGGGGGGTGCAGCTGAGAGGACACACTAGAACAAAATAGAAATGAAAGATATGACACAGTGATGAGAAAAGAGAGGAGACAGAAAAGAAGCGTTGGAATCGGAAATGAATGGACAATACACATACGTTTCTTGTGTCTCTCGTCCGACATGGCCAGGAACTTTGGTATGGTTGTGGGTTGTGCGACAAGCGCCGCCGGCGAGCTGGATGCGGAGGCCAATTTTTCGTCCCTGTTGCTGGTGGCCGAAGGTCCGAGGAACCCAGCCAGTTGCATCACGGGCACCGGGAGATCACAAGCAGGTCCAGACCAACCGCTGAAGCACCGACACTCGCCTTCTTGGCACACACCATGACTAGAGCAATTCGGTGAGATGCACATCCCTGTGATGAGTGCCGGGGAGAGTGAACAGAGATGAGGTGAAAAAAACATACGAACGAACAGAACAATGAGAAACCGAGTTGAAACAAACGTTGACAGGTTAGCTTGGTTATTGGCCTCGAGCAAGTAGTTGATCGCAGTGATCGGTGTGATGTAACGCAAAGGGTATGCGGAGAGTTCCGGTGTTGCTCTCCCCATTCCTGCACTTCACGACCGATGGTTTCGCCCTGATTTGTACTTATCAGGTAGAGATAGCCTGAAATGGGAGTGGAACTCGGCATATAGTGGTAGACGGCTATCGCCATGAGCGCTAGACCACTGAGCTCCGCGAGCAGAGCTTCACACAGCGGTCATTGAAATTGGCTGTCGGGTTTTGGAGTACCCGCCGAGATGTTCTATGGTGCGGTATAGTGTAGATGAAAGGAGCACCTCATATGCCAGACCCGCAGGGGAAGCATCTTTCGAGTGTTGGAGCGAATTAACGCGCGACATACGACATTAGTGTTTGGCAAACAAAAAAAACCGAGCGATTATATGGGACCCGGATAAAAGCACGCCGCGGTTGAGTAGCGCTGGTCGGTCGTTTACCAAACCCTATTGGGAAAAAATGTGACCAAGAACTATCGGGAGCGGTGCTAGCAACTCCATCTCGATCCGCTTTGGCCGCGAAGACTAGAATATAACCTGATACTGCTGTACAATCGGATTCATGGCAATGGCGGGATCTTCGTAATAAAGACATCACCTTGGTTATACCTATGTAAGACAAATATGCAATCCAACTTTTTTACAATCGGAAATGTTGCTTTGCAGAATCGGCTCCCAATCACAATCAGGTCATGTGAGAGTGTGCAATCATTTCGTAGTAAGCCGAGAAGCTACTTCGACCGGGACACGATTGCGAACTTCTGTCCGTGGGGGAGATCACTTGCCGATCTGTTTAACGAGGACTCAATAGTGGAATAGAAGGAATTCACGTAATGTAAGCAGCCTGTGGTGTCTATACTATCCTCAAAGCGCAGTAATGACATCCACCTCAGTGTTCAACACAAACATGTGGGAAATATACGCTGCCAGGAATATAGACAAAGACAAGCGTACAACTACATATTGACCATGCAAGAGCATGAGTTTACCTGTGTACATATGATCTGAAACAAATACGGACGTAGCTTCTCCTTTGATGAGGAATATATCTATTATTATTATTAATCACTCAGCGTCAGATTACGTCCCTGTCATGAAAGCAGAAACAAGACAACCAGCATATCTGCGTTTAGCGATCTAGGCGCGACATACGACGAGCTGAGTCTCAGCAACGAAATTTTCCACAGTGAGTAGGCCGATAAAGTTCATCGTAGATGAATTGGCCTCAGGTAGTTTAACCCCCCCCCCCGCCAACAGTATGGACGGTTGGTGGCAAGAACATGCGTGCGAATGCATTCACAGCGGTCGAAAGTGGAGAGAAAGGAGAAGGGGGCAGAGTTGGCGAGGTGGAAAATGAGATCCTAAACCGAAAAAGCTGGAAAAAGTCATTCTTCTAAACTGTGATGCAGCGGCTCAGACGTCAGAAGAGTTTATGTCCCGCTCTCGTCTAAGTTTGGGCATCCTAGTAGTGCCCCAGCCCGCACACAACCATTTGTGGCTGCACGGAACCGAAGTATCAATGCAAAATACCGTTGCACTACCGATGATTCTGTGTGAAGATCCTTGGTACAGCTAGGAATCCCTTGCACCGTTGTGATTCAAACGTATGATTCGCAACCTCTTCTGGTGTATAGTCGATACTCTTTTAAAAGTCGAAATCGGAATTGTTCAGCAGCATAACCTTATGAATTCAAATCCGTCATGCGAACACGATGAAATCCGGTGCCTCGGAAACAGAGCGATTAAGGAAGGATTGCGTACAAGTCGCAAGAGGCTTTGCGGCTCAAGTCATTCCAGGTGGGGGTATCATGCGAATGTGATGTGACAGCACATAGGTGCAACCTTATCGACCTAGAAATTTGAGACACCTCAGTAGCGGACCGCAGCGCATGAATCATCCATTGTGTGCGTCAATACACCGACTCACATGCTGTGTTCTGCCTGTGCGGGTGGCTAGCAGCGAGAGATGATGATGACCGAAAGCTCACACTCAGACGACACCTGAAGGTGATCCGTCACACACATCCTAGAGTCAAATACAACGGCGTATGGTGTGAACCCTTCTCTCTCTCTCTCTCTCTCTCTCTCTCTCTCTCTCTCTCTCTCTCTCGCGCCAAGGAAAGTTGTATCAGCGCTCGCGCCCAACAGCACACTTTACTTTTCAAGTGAAGATAGCCGGAGCTGAGATGTAAACTGCAAACTTTCTGATTTCTTTTTGATTACTGGAATACTTGGTTCTGTGAGAAAAGGCATACATAAACTGCCCTGCTTCTGTTAAAGACATGCTGGGGAGGCAGGAGAGTGACAAAGTGCGAGGTCAGTCGACGATCCGGCCAAGAGTGTTCACGATCTGAATTCACAAGCTCATGAAGTAACGCACGAAGTGACAACATAATGATTTTAGTGCTTTATATCAATATGACTGGGATCATGAGCTCGAGTTGTTGAGCTATTCGCTTTTAGTATTTAACCGTCGCTAAGTTGTGAGCGGAATGGTCGCTAGATAAGCAAGAGCGTTCAGGTACACACCGGTATCTCTTTCGTGACGCATGACCCCTTCCAACAATGTTCCAAGTGACCTTCAGCTTTACGGTTTGCTGAGAGATGACCGAGGGCTTGGTGGGTGGCCCAAAGTTATCGGTCAATCGAGGAAGAACAATCGGATGGGATATATGACGGACTCCCGACACGAACTGAACACCGGTAACACTGCGTTGGGTGATGCCTGTGTCGAAGAGCAGAATGTACTCGCAACACTGTAATTTCCTTGGGATTAATCGTGACCTCAAGACGGTACTCTAAACGGTTCTGTGATGATATGTAGTACACCTAGGGAGAGGTTTCATGGTGGCTTGAATTCTCAAGGAGTAGCGGTCTCTTCTCCCTGTTCAGCAGTTGAGAACCAGCATGCCGCACAGTATGCAAATGCGAAGCGTTGGACAGACTGCAAATAATGACAGAAGCTCGGAACGAGAGATAAAGCAACAAACGTGTGTGTGTTAGTGTGGGTGGGTGGGTACGCGAAAGTAAGAGGCAGTCCGATGCGATAAACGACGAGCACGTGACAGAAAGAATTCCAGGTCATTGAGCAGACGATGGCAATGACAAGTGTCAAAAGCCAGGCCACACACACGCTACTCACGCAAGCAAGCACAAGAGCACGAGGAGCAAACTTAACGGAACAGTTCCAAAAAGGGGCATATTTGCTGTAGTCTTCTGAGAAAACCGACATGTAACCGTCACAATTAGAAGATTAGGAGTGAGACGTCGGGAACAGTGGACACAGGGTTTTGGAGTTTGGTGTAAGTTGAAACGATGCATCCCTATGTCGAATAGAAGCTGCGGCGGAGGTGAAATGGCATATGATAGCCCGGTTGTTTAATTCGAGGCGGCGAAAATCCACTTAATCTCCATCATGCGTGTTCGTACTGTTCGAGATCGCAACATGGGTCAATAAAACCCGCAGCATCATTAGGTCGATTAGCAGAGGAAGAGTGGATAATGCCGATTTAGGTTGAAAGTTCAAAGAGGAAGGGGGCCCGATAGACTACAATTGTGCACTCGGCAGGGATGGCCTTTGGAAATGCTTGGGCTCATTACGGTGGTGAGATGTAGGAGACTGTTTAAGACATGCACCGTGAATACTAAATTTCCAAATTGCGAGCTTATAGCTTAACCCAACCATCCGTACATGAGCAACTCGGAATTCCCAATCCAAAAATGTAGCGGCCTGTGCGCCGCTGCTGATCTTGAGCTGTTCACCAAGCCAAATCCACATAAACTATTTTAGCTCAATGCTGAACAACATTCAGGCTACGACTACATCCCTAGTGGTAAATCAATACAATGCATTCGAAAAATACCATTGCAGAGCTACGCTCTTCGAATTTCGGTACATGGCAAAACGCACAACATATAGGATAGGCAATTTGAAAATTTAGAGGAACAAAACAAGTCGAGCTGCTGGAAATGTCACATAGTCAATAGGTGTGGCTTACGTTCCGCGTCCAGCCACTTATAGCAAGTCGGAAATCCAGTCAAACAAGACAGTAAGACCATGCAGAATCTAGCTAGAACCTTTGAAAACTCAGTAGCCAGCTTTTCTTGACGTCTCAATCGATTAGATTTGTGCCACCGTAGTGTCGGGCCGCAAAAAATCGTCGTCGAGACGGGGATAGCAGAAGTGCCTCGAATTCCTAGCAAACCTAAAACGTAACACCCGATCTTCACCCCATTCAACCAATAAACGTCCACGTAGCAATCCCCGCTGTGCCGGTGACGTGAAATAAGAAAAATTAAGGTATACAAATCAAGAAGAGAATGGAATTGCGTTTAAGAGAAGGAGAATGTTAAGACAAGTAGGAAGGCAAAAAATAAATCAGAAAGGAGGAGCGGTTTATGAAAAAGGGTAAATTTGGTATTGCCATCCAAGAGCATATAGGTGACTCTCAAAGCTTTTTATACTGTGGATGCTTCAACTCCGGCAACTAGAAGTGGGTTCCAGTGTTCAATAATTCGGCACAATAACCGGGTGTCTGCCTTAACCCGATCGGAGTGCGGTTCCTGGGGCTTGAAGAAATGGCCACGAAGGCTAGAGAGCTTAGTAGGGGAAATAGCCAGGACCGATTGTCCCATGAGAATGAAGTAGGTGAGAATCAGACTCCCAAACGAATCCACAGGTGATGCATTGATTTCATTCTCAAACTACGCAGACACTCAGGATAGTACTGTCCTCGTAACGCCTGGACTAACCTAGTACCGACTCGCAACACTCTTTCTAGCTCCAGTTTGTCCAGGACAAGGCATGGTGGACAGGCCTGGGTGCCCTATTCTAAGAGGGTCTCACGAAAGCTGA